AGGCTTGTCCTGAGCCTGTTAAAATAAAAAAAAATGTTTACTTTCCCGTGTTTCTCTTACGGGGCAAGTAAAGTAAACTGCTGAAATTGAAAATTAGTCAAATTGCTTGATATATTACATATTTAGCTTAAATGCATTTAAGGCCTTCGAAAGACGTACAAAGTTCACCACTGTACTCTTTTAAGCGAGTTCCTCAAATTGGACATTTTGCAGTACTAGCTGCGTATTCACCATATTAGTCTGCTTCAAAAATTTTCAACTGTACTTGTAGGAAATTTTTCCAGCTGCCACCTGATGAAGACCACTTTTTGATTAAATGCAAGGATCGAAAGTTATCAATGGTTCAATGCGCTGATGTCTTATGATCATGCTCAATCAACTGCTCAGCAGGCAACATTGGTGTTTCTGGGGCGTTAAACAGGACACAAAAATCGTGGCTACTATGTCACACTGCAAAATACAGTGTTGTCTACAGAGCAGCTGCTTGATCATGTCATAAGTTTACCAATCTCTTAAATAATTAATAACTTTTTCCTGTCTCGTTTTACATAGAAACGATCTTCAGCAAAGTTGTAGCTGAGAAAATTTTCTATAAGAATGACTATCGAACTGTTTCGCAGCTCAATATGAAAAAGACTAGAAGGCAATGAACAAAAAGTTGAGATTTGCCATAGTAATTTACAAGTAAACTTCAAACGTCTTGTGCGAAGTCTGTTTCTAACCAAATGAGTTGTAACTTTGGGAGGCTAATCAGGACCCGATTTGAAACCATTTAAGCACTGTGGAGCGAAAAAGTCAAATTTTGCATCAGTCTAGTATACAGTATCTCCATAGAGGTAACTAAAAGACTAGAAGGTCCCGAAGAAACGTGGTCGACTTTTTGGCTCAGCTCTGATACTCTCTTCGGTCCCAAGCTAATCGATGTACCCCTCGAAACATAGGAAAATCCGCGAACCTCTCATTTTATCTGTCAAACTTTAATATCGAATCAAAACAAACATAGTGTAGTTCTAGAATTTCTACTAGAATGGGGTACGTTAATCGATTTGCTCGGGACCAATAGGCTAGTCAAGTAGTGAGCCAATTTAAAACCGTTAGTTTCCACCGGTTGATTATACTCCCTTCATTTGGTGGCTATTGCGTCCGGTTGCTGAATAATTTGATGCCGAATTGTTTTCATTACTTATATTCTGTAGAAGGGTAAAGCGGCCGAAGATAAGTTGACCCTATATTAAATTAAAACAATACTTTTGAAACGTTTTGATCGGCTAAAATTAAAAATATGAGCATATTTATGATGGCCGCATTTTTGTAACGGGACATCATTTGCAAAACACTGTTGCAAGATTAGCGTAACGCGACGCTTACGAAATGTTTTTAAGAATAATTCGTTAAATGTTCATGTTTTACAAAATTCCAGTAACACAGTTTTGTTTTGATTGGTGTCAAAAAAAAAACGACGAGAATAAACTAGGGTTCAAAATCATTTACCAGAGAGCTAATATGTACGATACTCGAAAAAGTGGATTTCTGCGATGGTGTCCCGTTACGAAATGTAAAGCGTTATATTTACTATGTTTAAGACGTTACATTCTAAAATGAATATCACATCAGAATGTAAATTACGCATAATTTTAAACATGTTTCAATGTTGCAAAGCTTGAGGTGTTTCGCTGTGAGATCTTTATTCTCGTAACCACTCCAAAACTTTAAGTTCAAAAATATCAGCTCCTACGATACGTACAACAATGAAACTGTTACTCCACGTTTGCTGCACTGCAGCATACATGAAGTACCAATTTCAGGTGAAATAGGACATTAAAATTCGAAGTGGAAGTGCATGTATAGCCTACGTGGTGGCCATTTGTGGACTCTACAAGGAATCACCTTAAATCTGATTCTCCGCGGGTTACTCTTTGGTGACTAGCAGCAAATTCAAACATATAAAGCAACTAACGATACAGACAAAAGGCTTGCTACGACTACCACGACAAACTCAAAGAGCAACACAGCTCGATCGGAGTGGTAGAAGGAGGATGATATATTGCTTGCCTGCTTTGTTGCAATATACACGGATGAGGACATAGCTTGATCTGAATCAAGAAAAGGCATAACAAAAAAATCCCCATTAACATACGTGGCTTTACCATAGAGGTAACTCTAAGACTACTGGGTCCCGAAGAAAATCATTATTATTTTTGGCTCACTCAGTACCAGAACAACGGTCCCAAGCAGTCCCAAGCTATTTCACTCACCCCTGCATGTTCTGCATGAATCCACACACCCCTGATGTTATCTGTCAAACTTTCATAGCGAATCAAAACAAACATAGTGTAGTAATAGAATTTCAACTAGAATAGGGTACGTTAATCGTTTGCTTGGGACCAATAGGCTACTAAAGTGGTGAGCCAATTTAAAATCGTTAGTTTCGTATTGATTGTTGGCTTTACTTCGTAAAGCAGCTTGCCAACAATTTGCTCGTTTCCTTCTACCGCCCAGAGTGAGCTGGTCGCACGGGCTGCTTGTCATGAAAAAGAAGGAAGAAGATTATATCATTCCCGACCAACCATTCGTTAGAAAAATCGATAGCGATCGTCACCATTTCATGAATAATTGTAAAGATGCTAAAAGTCTAATCGTGAATCGTTTATAAAGATCTTTCTCAAAATATTGCTACCAATCGTTACCAATGTTAAAATATCGATATTGCTACCAATCGTAAACCAAAATATCGATACACAACTGCTGATTTTATTTGTGATTTTTTATCTGCATAATTTCTAGTTTCGATCCCATGCCATCTGGGGTGTACTGATTTTGTTGTTGGTTGCTAATCCTCGGGTCCACGGCTGCTGTTGATGAGTTTATCAACGACAGGCAAACACACTCTAGTATGTGGTGTATTGAAATTTCTGTAAATCTTTTCAAACATGAATTCAATATTTATTTGTCGTAACCATCAACCATGTAGGTGTAATAGAGGTCAAAAAGGTATCAATTTTCCTCATTGGGTTCCAAATGCCGAGAATCCCAACACGCATGCTATCACGGGTTATTAAATATATAGACATAAACTTGAAGAACTACAATGGTAAACATTTGCTGCGTCGCGGCCATCGGTCTTCTCGTTCATGGCTTCTTCCAATGAAATGCCGAATATGTCGATTAATAATAATAAAAATTGCCATCTGTCACCTGGTGTGTCTCGAACTCTCTTTAACCAGCTATGCAAATCGATAACAAGGAGATTATAAATGTGCATCGATGGCAATCTTTGTTGTTCTTTGTCAAAGTTCAAAGTTACTATGATATCAGTATTTAAGTATTTATTGATGAATATTTGTAAAGAATACTAAAGTCCATGTGACATATAGAAATTAAAAGAAATTTAGTATGGCACCTTTATAGATTACTATCATATGACCGATGAATCTTAAATTTAAGTATCGATCAATTACGATTTTTAAATGTGTACATCGAAATCATAGAAAATTTAAATTAAAGAATTGCCGACATAAATCTTTATTTCTATATAAAGAACTTTGAAGAAGTTTCACGAACGGTTGGTCGGGTTATAGATCAGTGCACGGTCCCTAACCTCACTTTTTGCGTCCTATTATTTTGTCTGTGAGTAAAAGAGATGGCAACGAATGGGAGCCAAAACAAACCACCCAAAACTGTCAAAATTTACGGGAGAGGGAAGAGTGCGGCAAATCTTCGTGCACTGATCTATTGCTTTCCACTTCTGACATAGCGTTATTATTCGGTTCGTTGATCGCATGTTATTTTGTCATTTGGGGATATTTTTGATTCCTTGGTGACTTGCACGCTCGCTCAATGTTACTCAAAAGTGAGTAACTTCTACTCAGTTTGGTATTTTTGTACAAAATGTCAAAATCTGAGTAACATTGATTGAGCAAAGTGAGTAACTTCTCCTCTGTTTGTCTAAAAACATTGTTTACTCATTTCTGAGTAATCCTGCACAAATGTTACTCACCATGCTTATGTCAAATACTTGTAACAAAAGTGAAAATTTTTGTTGGTGATTAAACCTCGGATTAAACTTCCGATTTCCCTTTGAAGTTTTGAAAATTTAGAATAAAGAAATGAATCAAGTGGCTGCAGAGGTAGATAAGGATTCGTTTCGTAAATTGGAAAGGTAAGAAAAATGAAGTATTTGAAAATAAAAGCACCTTATTCAATCCTATCAAAAAACAATAGGCCTATCTAGGAAATGTTGATGTGGGATGTTACATTGGACGTAGTGGACAGCATAGAAATGCAGATGGAACATCAGCGGTTTCTGAAGGACATTGGGATCCCTGTGCTCACTCATATTGCCATGATAATGCCATGCAACATTTTTAGACATCGCTGAAGAGCGTCGGTCACCAGCCTCGTCGTTGCATTTAGAGAAGCCACAAAAGACACCGAAAACATTGTTTTTTTTTTAAATATGAATGTACGTCTCCTCTTCTATATTTTAATAAAATTGTTTGTTCTATCGTTTTAATTTTTCATATTTTATCAATATAAAATGAATTAATTACTCATTTCGAAAAACGCTCAATTTTATATGAACTGAGTAACATTTACTCAGATATGCTTTTTTACCGCAAATCAGAACTGAGTACAAGTTACTCTGATTTTGACAAATGCTAGCATTACTCAAAAGTGAGTAACTATAGGTTTACTCACTTTAGAGTAGTTCCACTTTTACCGAAAGAGAGTAGATTTTTACTCACTTTTGAGTAACATTGAAGGAGCGTGTGTTATTCCCCGTTCTGATGTTGGTGGGTGTACTACGGCTCCGTTTACCTACTTTCACCTTCACCCGTTATTTTTTACTTGACGGAAGTGATGACCATTTGACCATTTGGTTGTTATTATTGGACCGTTACGGGAGCATGTGATATTCATTACAACCAGCTCTAACCCTGTTTCATTGCATTAGGTTTTGTTTATTAATATTGGACTATTTCTGCAACTGTTGCTTTTTCTCTCTCTGAACAAATGCTTGCGTTGCATTTTATGATTGTCTCCCACAATTCCGAAGGAACATTTCCTATTGAATTCGGCAAAGCGATCATACATATATTTGACTTTTTATCACGTAACCTCTTAGAAAAGTGCAATGAGGAATATCATTTTCTCACTTCTTCTTACTAAATATGAGTCGAATCAAACTTATGCTATGGAATTTTAATCCAATACTGATTCTTTTTGAATTTGACATTCGTCAACTGTTCCATATCAAATCGTGGAAATATTTGTAAACCGCACGGAACGCGCTAGTTATTCCTCTGACGCAGTACGTTACTCCGCGGGCTATAGACCGTACCGGCAGCAGTTGCCGGTGCCGGAGAGCGGTTTTCCTTTCCGGGAAATGGCGAAACGATCAGCTTCTTGGGCGTTTTGGGACTACCGATGCCGTACAGCTTGCCGGACATGTTCAGCTTCTGCGGTGAATCATAGCAGGAGAGCTGCTGCTGCAGCCCAAGGATGGTGTTCTCCTGCTTCTTGTTGACCTCTTGGAGCTTGGCTATTTTCTGTTGATAGAAAATTTTGTTAAGATTTCGTTCCGCTTGGAAATTTCCGCATAACTTACCGTTTTCATTTGCTGTTGATCCTTGCTACCTTCGATGTTTTTCACCTTCTGGCGGTTGTTATGGTTCTCCAACAGTTCTGTGTACTTTTCGGATGTCTCTTTGGCGAATTGCTCCACAATTCGAAGCTTATCCTCGGTCGCTTTGAGCTATGGAAAAATTGAAAGGTTTATTTAATTCTGATGCTGCGCTGAATGTAGACAGAAAACCTATTGTTTACATACCTTCTCATTCAGCTCGCTGACGCGAGACTTCTCCTTCTCAGTGTCGCATTCGATCACTTCCTGCAGCAACTCGATGTGTTCACTATGCAGCACCTTGTCCTCGCCAACCTTTTCCAGCTGGTTGATGATATTCTCAATCAGCATGTTCGATACCAGCTGCTGGTCGTCGGTATTATTCAAGGGAACTTCAGGTGAAGGCAGTGGCAGTCGTCCTTCGACCTGATATTTCTCAAACTGTTCGCATTTGAACCTGAACGTCATGTTTTCCAGCTTGATGTCCTTGTGCTCATTCTCCAGCTCGAAAATTTTCTTATCCTTCGTATCCAGTTCGATCCGAGCCAATTCTATGCCGGTGGCGAACTCATCTAGCAGGGTTTTCATGTCCTGAATGTATGCTTCACGTGCTTCGTATTTTTTCTTCAACTCATCGTACATATCCAGATATCGGGAAATGCTTTCTTCCATTTTGTCGTTGAATAGCTTTCCAATCTGCGAAACAGTCAGGATGGCGTCTTCCTCGGAGGTCATAATCTTTTCGAACACTTCCTCCTTTTCACGCATCTCTTTCTCCAGTTGGCTAGATGACGAACGGAGAGCTCCCAATACGCGTTTGTATTCTTCGATTTCCTCCCGAAGTTTGTTGCTCTCTGTCTCGATCTCCGATTTACCTTTGATTACCGAATCAAGTTCCGATTTGAGCATTTCCACGTCCGAGTCCGATTTCTTCAGCCGTTCCATGAGAATATTCACCGTTGATCGAGTGTTATTCAGCGTTAGCTGATAGTTGTACTTCTCCGTTTTTAACCGTGCATTCTCCCGGTTCATCTCCTTCAGTTCGTTTTCGTATTCCTCCTTCGTTTTGATGCTGCCACCCATCTCGGCAACCAATCTTCTGTCCAACTCAGCAATCTTATTCTCATGCTCCTTGATCACTTCATTCGATGCTTCCCAAAGAGCTCGCAAGTCGCGCTTCTCAAACTCGCACTGCATGATTTCCGTCTCTGCAATCTTCTGACACTTGTCCAGTTCCTTTTGCCAGCGCATCTTTTCACTCGCCAAAGCATTAGCGATCGAGTTCTGGATCGACTGCTCCAGCCCCTTGATACGCTCTTCGCTTTGAACCTCTGCGATTCGGATCTTCTCTTCAGCTTGTTCACCAATCCGCTCGATCTCCCGCTGATGATCTTTCTCCATGTTCTTTATCTTATCCCCATGCTCTTTGATCAGCTTTGACTTTTCCAGCACAAATATCGACTCGCATTCCCTGATCTTCATTTCATTGACTTCATTGATCGTTGCCAATTGCTTTTCGTACTTTTTCACCACGGCTGTAAGTTCATGGTTGAAATCGTTCCTAACATCATCCCTGATCTCATCCATCTCGAACTGATTCTCGTTCAACTCTTCTTGCATCCCCTCGATGATAGTGTTCTTTTCAGTCAGCTGTGCTAGCAATGCCTCGTTATTCTTCTTGAACGTGTCAATCTCACGGATAGTGGCTCGACTCTCTTCCACGTACTTCATCATATCTTCTTCCGCTTGGATTCGGAAATAGTTCACCTGCTCTTTCAAATCATTCCCTTCCCTGATCAATTGATCCAAACTCTCCTCCATGCCCTTGATTTCCCCCACCTTCCTCTCCAATTCCAAATCATGCGCCTCCAGAATCTCTCTCATTGCCAACAGCTCTTCATTCAATAAATAATTCTCACCCTCCACCACCAAATAATCCCCCTGCAGCTCATTGTGCCGCATCTCCAAGTCCTCAAACTTCATCTCCAGCTCGATCTTCGTATCATAAACCTCACACAACTGCCGCTCGTAATCCTTATGCAATCGTTTGATCTCTTCCTCGTTCTCCTTCACCTTCTCCAAGCATCCCTCCGTAATCTCCTGCAGCAGCTCATCCGCCTTGGTAATGCTGGTCAACTCTCGCTCGAGCAACATTATCTGATTATCTTTCTCGCCCAGTAGATTACATTGCTCAACCTCCGTCAGACGCCTCTCCGCCAGCAGCTCCTGAACCTTCGCCTTCAGTTCTTCATTCTCCTCGCGTGCACGCTGCAGCGCTTCCTTGTTAACATCGATTTTGTTGTACAGCTGAACGATCGGCGGAATCTTACCGCCACAATCGACTCCCTTTTCGATCGGTTTGGTGCCCAGCGTTTCCAGATCGCGTTCCAGTTGGCGCAGCTTTTCCGCTGCTGCCTCCTTGGAAGAGGATTTCTTCGGCGTAAGGTCCGAGATGTGCTTGAATTTGAGGCGCTTTGGAAGCGATGGCTGAAATTATTCGGGTAGACACAGTCATGAATACATATATATCACGTACTTTCGAATACTGCTTCAGCGATACTAACCGTTCTGAACAGGCTGAGGGCACTTTTGCTGGGTTTGATCGATTCGGCATCCATGCTGCCCAGTCTGATTTTTTCCTCCTTCTTGGACTTTTTGGTTGGTTCTTTCTCCCGTGGTTCGGCAAATGGCGATGGAGAGGAAACGACTGTGGGAGAAAGAGAAGTTAAGGGTTAGTTGAATATCCTCGTCTATTTTTGGAGAAAATCGTCTTCTTTTGTGTAGTCATTGCATGTTGTAGATTCTTCTAATTGTAGGCTAGGACATTATTTTTTTTTTAAGCCCGACGTTTTAAATATTTTTGTTAGTTTTAGAATCTTTAAAATGTCTAGGAAAATGTCCGTAGTGTCGTAATCGTTTCTCTGTCCGGCGTATCTGTGTACGATTTCTTCTTCAAATGATAACGCCCAAACTGAACATTTTGCCTCGCTCCGACTTAAAAGAAAACAAGAACATAAGATATAGGGGAAATGGGTGTAATTTCGGCCTGAATGTCCCTAATTTGGGCCCATACATAAATTCAGCAATCGACTAAATTTTCAATAGCGACCAAAAATATCCATTAGTACCGTTCCAATGACGCGTTCATCTAGATAAAATTAATAAATAGCAGATTTTTAGCGATGGGTCCAATCTTAGATCCATAGGCCAACATTAAAGCCATTTCCCGTATACCAACCATATTGATCGGATGGGATTTCACAAATTTGACAGTACACTTTTAATTGATCTATACATTTATGGCCCATAACAAACTTCAACAACACATACAAATTTTGCGGCTGTATTGCATATGTTACAACTGATAGAAGCCGAAAAGTGAATTTCAGCTTGATTATTTTCCTAAATTACATTGTTAAACTAAGATTAATTACTTGCTAAATCAAATCTAAGATTGAACTTAACCTAAATCTGTTGTTCTCTACGAATGAAACTAAAGACCCAGCAGCCCTGGTCGCCGATAGTAGTTATGGAAGGAAGTAGCCAGGATTGACTATTTAAACGATATTAAAATTTAACCTATATTAAAACCTCGGAAACATCCTCTTTGCTCTCCATCGGTTAGAAGTAACTCCTTCTCCTTCCAGAATCTTTAACCAACACGATGGCCGAGTTCCACTACGACCCTGACAGCGACGACGGCCTGTTTGACGTGTGGTTTTCACGCTACGAGGACACATTTTCGCAGGATGCAAGTAAGCTCGATGACCCCAGCAAAGTGAGGTTACTTCTCCGGAAACTGGACACTCGAGCACACAGCTACACCTCACCTCATTCGCGGCGCAGAATAGGCCTCTTTGATCGGTGGCGAGAAGAACTACGGGCAGATTGAGAAAAAGGGACTCGCACTTGTGTTCAGTGTCATGAAGCTTCAAATCGGATCGCACAAAGGCAATCCTGTTTACTCAACGAACCGATTGCAGCGTTGGGGAACCATTCTGCTCGCTCACGACTTCCAGATCGACTATATCGCTACGGATGAGTTCGGCTATGCGCACAGCAAGCATGACGGCGAAGACTTTGAACTTTCCTCGACTCATCAGTCAGCAATTTTCCGGTGACGCACTCTATGATTCGGACGGCTACTGAGCAATCGAGGCCCGAAGGCCCCGAATCATCAACGGTTATCGCTGCCGTTGAAGCAAAGCCTTTCATCTGTCGTCGTGTTGCGCTCAGTTTGGTCGAACGTTGTCTACGTCTGGGAGAACGAATCGTGGTTCCAGAGATCTACCGTAAACGCATTCTCAAACAACTACATAGAGCGCACACCGGAATTGATCAGTATTCAGCGTCTGCCGACGCGAGCACCTGTGACACCTGCATCAAAAGATCGACCTAACTCAAGTCGTTATCTGAAAGGAGGCATCTAGTCGTAGGTTTGGAAATTGCAGCTATTGTTACCTCTACCACTGTATGTGCTCCTGTCATCGTCGACTTGACGATCTCGAGGAGACACGGGTAGGGGAGGTGCTGATACTGTACCTTTCGACCAATGGCAGTATGATTGATGGTAAGCTCCCACCTAGAGTTTTGTACTTTTATTATTTATGATTGTATTACTTCTGCATGATGTTAACGATTTTACATAGTTGAAGATGCTAAGTTTCAAATAACAGACTTAAAGTGGTCATTTTATACTATTGATAGATGCCTCCCTTCATATAACGACTTGAGTGCGGTACAATCGATAGAACTGTTTCAAACACATCGTCGGTACATGAGCAAATCGGCGATCATATCTTTTTGCCAGAGGTGGCATCCTCGGGAGTTTGGTAAAGAGAGATGATCAACCCGATTCGTCCTGGCTCGCTTTCTACTCTCTATATACAATTTTCACACTGCCGTACCCTAACGGAACTATCAACTCTATACTTTCATGTCCTCATCCATCGTATAAAATGACCACTTTAAGTCTGTTACTTGAAACTTACCATCTTCAACTATGCAAAATTATTAACTTCACGCAAAAGTAATACAAGAATAAATAGTTAAAGAAACAATTATTTTCTGTGGAATAAATTAAATTTCAGCAGCTATTTTAAAACGTGATTTCATATGATACAATGATACAGTCATATTTATGAAAGGAATAATGCAAAATTGAAGAATTTAAGCTGAAATATCAGTGTTGCTGATATTGCCCCGAATGGACTTAAGTAATATTTTGTTAAGAAAATCTTCAATGTTTTTTTAAACTTAAAAAAAACATCCTGTCATATAAGAAACCATTTACAAAGCGGCTGAACGAATATCAACGGTAAGTTATAAGAAACTACTGATAGACCTTATTATCTGATTCTGAAATGTTATAACAGTTTTGACATTTTGAGCCAGTCTAACATTTTTCGAATATTTGCTCTAGAGACAAATATTTCGAAATGGGTAGTTGAAGTAGGCTTCAAGCATTAAGACTGCGACAGTTTTTTTGTGAAATATGTTGAATTAGTTGGTTTTTAAGCGGGTGGCCATATTGCCCCACTTTCTTCTAACTGATAAATAGCATAGCAATTCCAATGCTGCTTCAGTCTGACGAATATTAACACTCGGCTTCTCGTTCGATTTCGGTTAAAGGGAACTTTCGTCTGTTTCGTTCGGTGCAACGAGATTCTTGTGTAGAAGGAAGTTGTGCTTGAATGTACATCCGTCGACTCCACATTAGACTGATGCAAAATTTGAAATTTTCGCTCCACAGTGCTCAAACGGTTTCAAATCAGGTCCTGATTAGCCTCCCAAAATTTAAACACATTTGGTAAGAAACTGACTTGGCACAAACTATTCGAAGTTTATATGGAAATTACTATGGGAAAACCAAACTTTTTGTTCATTGTCTACTACCCGTTTTCCATATTGCTTTTTCGAAAAGTTCTATAACTATTCTTATGGGAATTTTTCTAAGCTACAACTTTGCGGAATATCGTTTTTCAGCTAAATGTCAAATTAAATAGTTATTAATTGTTTAAGAGATTGATAATCTTATGGCATGATCAAGCAGCTGTTCTGTTAGCAACACTGTATTCTGCAGTGTGACATAGTAGCCATGATATTTGTGCTCTATTCTTCTCACCAGAAACACCAATGTTGCCTGCTGAACAGTTGAATGAGCATAATCATGAGACATCAGTGACTTGAATCATTAATAACTTTTGTTCCTAACATTTGATTGAAAAGTGGGTTTCAACAAAGTTGTAGCTGGGAAAATTTTCTACAATCACTGCTATCATTTTTAAAAGCATAGTGATGTGGTGAATTGTTAGATACATGTGAACAAAAGCATAAGTTTTCCCATAGTAATTCCCATATAAACTTGAAATGGTTTGTGCGAAGTTAGTTTCTTACTAAAATAGTTCAAATTTGGGGAGGCTAAGCAGGACCCAATTTGGAACCGTTTAAGCGCTGTGGAGCAAAAATTTCAAATTTTGCATCAGTCTACTCCACATGTCTTGCTGTTACAGTTTCCTCCATGTTGTCGCAGATACACTTACGGCATATTCTGAACTCACGTTCCGCAGCCCATCTTGCTTCATAGGAAAGGTCCACTTACATTTCACGGAATTCGGGCAGCTTCCCTTGCAAATAAAACAACTCTTTGACGTCATCGTACCGGATTTCTCGCTGGACTGATGATTGATACTCATTTGTAGGTTTGTAGTTTTCTGCCCGGACACTGTCACCGGTGAAGGTTTGACATGAATATTGACGTAGGTTTTACTTTTGAAAATTCTTTTTAGTTCTATTGAAAATTTGCTTACAGAAGGATCTATTTTTCTATGTCTCTGATATATTACAAATTTCTCTATGTCCTGAAAAAAAAACTGTGAACCATGAATTTCGTTGTGATTTTATGGCAACGGACAAAAATGTTCAAAGTTTTTACAGTAAGTATCATGGTTACAGTAACAGTGAAAATCATTATATTTTTATTGGATTTTTTTTGGAATGCTGATATTATTAGCAAAATGCTGTATTTAATTAAAATAAAACAATAACAATCTTTAAGGTATCCGTCTTACCCCGATTTCCCCTACACACAATCCAATCCAAGTAGGTAATTCTTACATTCTCTGTTATCTTATGTGAGAAATGTAACGGTTATTCTTTTGTAAGAAACCATCACACGATATCAACGAAGACCATGATTTATGACTTGTACAATACTTTAAAACCTCGATAAAGCTTGCAATGGGGAATTTAACTTGCTTCGTAACATAGAATCTATGGTCTAGCATTATAGAATGTTGTACCTCTTCTATACAAATCTGCAATAGAATCCTACATTTCTCGGTTGGGTGTACTTAGTCAAACCCAACTGCAACGACATTCTTAAGTTCGAAATCGCTCATGCGGCAAAGAAAAAAGTTTCAGCTTGACTTCCTTCGAACTTCAATTAATGATACAAACCCGAGCAAAGTCGGATATCAAATCGAAAACTAATTTTGATGTTATGATGTCGCAGATAATGATTACTTATGGTGCTGTCATTTTAAGCGAGATAAAAACAAATTCACATTGAAAACTAATTCTGCTATTAGTAAGAGCAAACTGAAATCCCAATTATCTGCGACGTCACAACAACTAATTTAGGTTTTAAACTGATCTCAGACTTTGCACGGAAATGTACAGCAAAATCGAAACAAAATTTGTTATCAA